AAAATCACTCAAAGTTTCATCATCGTCGATGTTAAACTCCGAGTAAAAAGCAACCCCTTACGGAGTGACGGAATACGGATATCTTCAGGTTACTTTAAGTATCACTGAACGTTTCCTCACACTCATTTTTTTGCATAACAACGATATCAATGTATCGTACTCCATTGTAAGTGGCAATTTAACATGACACTTAGCAGGTAAACTGTAACCCACAGAGTTATTCTCCATCACAATCTCACCCCCTCCCCCCCAATATAATGAAACTCTTATCCTACGCTCTTCAGACATAATGAAAAACTGCTGGAGAATTTAACAACAATAGACGTTTCAACAAGAGTTAAAAATTTTTTGAATGAATTTCTGTATGATTCTAACTTCTTTATATAGGAAATGGCTAGCCGAGAAATTTTTTTTTATATATATAGAGCCAAACGAGTTGGCACTATACGCTTTTGAATTATTGAACTCAGAAATTATTGGCGGGGCCGGGAAAAAGGAGTATATCGCCAGCTATTATGGCATTATACCTGCGCCGTATTAGCTTTTGCAGTATAGTGCCACAATACCTGGCGCTATACATTAACGGTGCAGTTACCGTTAATGTATAGCGCCAGGTATTGTGGTGTTATACATAAAAATGTAACTTTTTTTTACCACCTATTTGTGTACTTTGAGTCCAAAGGAACAACATTTTGGTTCCGGACTCACATTGTATGCCCCTTTCACCTTTATCTTTGCTGATCTCTAGGGCAAAGTTACCTCCTGCTAGGGGTTGAAATACTACAAACAATTATAGTTATAAAGTTATAAGTAAAATATTAGATTTTATATCTAACAAAAGATTACACTGTAATTTGGTACTTACCCACTTTATCTGTGAAAGGAAAATCAAGGGAAGACAATGCACAATAAAAAGGTAAAATAGTATCTATAGTGGCAACATCACGGGTCAACGTTGAAATTATAGTGGAGGACCTTTTAACAGAAGGTTCATATTTGAGGAGATTGACAAAATTAGTACCCTTAAAAATACGGCACTAAGTTTGCAACATTTTATCAAACATGAAAGAAGCAGCAATGGGGAAACACACCAGTAGATAACTGCTTGAAGATGAAAAGCTAGTAAAGCGAGAGAAAGGAAAGATCGTCGAGAGGTGGTCAGAGAGATTCAGGAAGTTTCATATAGTGTTCTAAAGATAACACTGAGTTAAGTTAGGCAGATATAAAAAATGGGAGTCCATGTGTTGGCCAACAACAAAAAGAGTCAGCGATAAGTTTGTATGGGGTCGAATTTGACCAATCACGTCCCATCATCAACATGACCGACCACTGAATGTTTACGAGCCGATATGAGGGGACGACCCAGGGATAAGAGGAAAAACGACCTCGACTTGTCATCGGCTCTGTTATAGAATATACTGATTTTGTCGTTCCAAGGACGAAGGTTGGATCCCCCCCATTATATAAAGGGGATCTAAGCTTTGTAATAGAGGAGGATTTTTCAATATACAAACGGATTCTCTCTCTCATCTTTATCTCTCTATTACTATCTCTCTCTCTCTCTCTCTCTCTCTCTCTCTTTGAACATTACTACTATTCCGATTGTTGCGTTGATCCTGGGGTTTATTATCTTCGATTACGATTTACCCCCTCATCTCTTTTGATTGATTTGCTCAAGAGATTTCAGCCTCTTTTGAACCAAACAATTTGGCGCCGTCTGTGGGGAACTTCTTGTCATGACCCCAATCCCCGATGGCGCCCAACACAATGCTAGGCAAACCCGACCAAACAACATCCTTAACCCAGTTCCTTATACAGTTCATTTCCAATTAACATAGATAATTAACCAATTCATAATACTTAAAGACTTAAATAAGAGTTTAACATGCGGAATATCAAATAAAACCTACTACATAGCCCATAAAGATCCAGTGTCACAAGTCTGAGCCTCTAATACAGGTTTATCAACCTAATGCATAGCAGTCTAGGGAATGCGAAATAAAAATAAAATATAGAAAGGGAGAGATCAGGGCTGCGGACGCCAGCTACCTCGATGCTCCCGGGAATATGCTGCTCAGCAGAGAAGTCCTCACTCAGCCTCAGATGCACGCAAGGTGCAGGGAGTAATGTGAGTACTCCGACCCAGTGAGTAATAAACATAAATAAAGGCTGAGAATAAGAAATCCTGAATAGGCACAATGTAATCTATAAATGCAGCAATTTAAACCAAGTAGTATAAAGTCAGTAAACAAATGAAACAATTATGGAAATGCTGCAACAGATGAGTAAATAAATGACATTCAAATAAGAAATGCAACGCATAGCACGATACTCTCTAGTACCCACTGCGGCGTGCAGCCCGCTCCATTTATTTATCGTCGACGGCGCTCACTGGGGGTGTGCAGACTCCCGGAGGAGCCCCTTACGGCCCAAGCGCAATATCAAGCCATCTCGTGGCATCAACTAGGCCCTCGACCTCATATTAATATCAATATAATACTGCTGCGGCGCGCAGCCCGATCCCATACTCTGTCCAGAATCACATAAGCCTCTCGGGCAATAGTAAAATAATAGTTCTCAGCCCAAAACATTGTTAGAAATGTCATTTAAGTTTCAAATCTGAGTAAAAGTGGCTGAGTTTGCAAAACAATATTAAAAAATTGGACTGAGTTCAAATAATATGCCCAAGTAGTGGGGAAACAGCAATAGCAACCCCCGAAGGGTTCAAATAGTTGGCACGAAGCCCAATTATGACAATTAGTCCAAAATAATAATGATATCAAGTAAACTTCAATCAATTAAGTAGTAATTTCATCAATCGGGACGGACCAAGTCACAATCCCCAACAGTGCTCTCCCCCATGCTCGTTACCCGGCGTGCAAGTCACCTCAATATAGCACTACGTTGTGCAAAATCCGGGGTTTCGAACCCTCAGAACATCATTTACACCTATTACTCACCTCAAGCCGACCAAAAATCTAGCTCGCTATGCCCTTGCTTCTCAAATCGACCTCCTCGCGCGTCGAATCTGACCAAAATCACAACGAATACGTCACAATATGCCAAAGGAACAATACCCAATCGAAAACAATCGAAAAATATTAAAAATCCAGAAATTGGCAAAACCCGAGCCCTGGGCCCACTTCTCAAAACTCAGAAATTCTTACACCAGTGGGTTCCTTATCTCTCCATGAGTCAATGCATATAAAGAACACCAAAATCGGAGTCCAAATGACCCCTCAAATCCCAATTTGAAATATCAAAACTCAAGCCCTAGTTCTTCCCATTTTAGCCAAGTTTCCATGAATTTCAAGGTTAATTTCACATAATAATCGCGTTTTTAGTTCATAGGACTTACCTCCAATCAATCCTCTTCGAATCTCTCTTGAATTTCTCCCAAATAGCTCTCAAGATGCTCAACAATGGAGGAAAATAACTTAGGCTCGCGCAACAAAATGTTTTAAAAGCCCTTCTGCCCAGTTGGTATTTCCCCTATGCGAACGCGGTCAAACCTCCGCGTTCGCGATGAACAAAAGTTTTGTTGACCAAATTTACCCAATGCGAACGCGGTGCCCAACCCGCGATCGCGATGCCTTGACTTCTCAACCTACGCGAACGCGGCCCACATGTGCGAACACGAAGAACAAATGTGCTAGGCCCTCAACTTCTACTATGCGAACGCGTACGCACCACCGCGAACGTGATGCACGAGAACTTAACCTTTCGCGATTGCGGACCCTATATGGCGAACGTGTAGAACCAGACTCAGCCCTGCCAAAATTCCTCTATGCGATCGCGGCCCTTGGCTCGCGATCGCGAAGACCAAAAATGCCCTGCACAGCTGCTGCAATTTCTGCAATAACTCATAGTCCAAAACTTCCCGTTTAGCCATCCGAAATCACCCCGAGGCTCCCGGGACCTCAACCAAAAGCACCAACGCCTCCTAAAACATCATCCAAACTCATTCAAATCATCAAAACACATCAAACAACACTAAAATCATCAATCCTCATCGAATCCAAGCCTAAGTTCTGATGAAACTTCCGAAACACGCATTCGATCAAAAATCCAACAATATCACCTCCGAATGACCAGAAATTTCGCACACACATCCCAAATCATATAACGACGCTACAGCAACTCTCGAAATTCCATTCCGATGCTCGGATCCAAATCTCACCTAACAACCGGAATTCGCCAAAATACTAACTTCGCCAATTCAAGCCTAATTCTACACCGGACCTCCAAAACCGCTTTCGATCACACTCCTAAGTCACAAATCATCCCCCGAAGCTAACCGAATCATCGGAATTCATATCCGAGCCCTCTAACACAATAGTCAACATCCGGTTGACTTTTTCAAACTAAGCCTTCCTTAAAGATACTAAGCGTCTCATTTCCTACCAAAACCAATCCAAACCAACTCGGCCACATATGACAAAGATAACGAAACATAAGAAGCAAAAAATGGGGAAAATGGATCGGTAATTCATAAGACGACGGGTCGGGTCGTCACACTTCTGTAGTCGAAATCATAGTTCTCACCTGGGATATCAAAAGCAACGATCTCTGCTCTTCGCACTCCATAGAAACCAGCGATGGCAGAGAAAGAAGCAAGGTTGAAGGCGATAACAAATGTCTCGAACAACCTGTTGGACTCCCTCAACGATGCCGGTAGAGAAAATACCGAGAACATAACACCAAGAGGTACACCGGAGGGGGAGATCTCACCCTCTACACTCGAGGATCTAACGATCTTGCGTGGAAGAGGAGCTTCGACGTCCACGGTGAAAACACCACCAGCAGTCAAAAAGCTGCTAGAAGAGTGGTTGACAAGCGCTCTAAACACGATGCTTGAAAAACTCCCTCAAGGAAATACCGAAGATTCGCCGACGACGGAAATCGCTAATGTCACCGGCGAGCCAAGCATTGTATGAACAAGCAACACCCGCACTACCGTCAATGCAAGCGATGGTGCAGTCGCGACCATCCTAAAGAAAATGGAAGAAATGGAAAACGAGAACGAAGTGCTTCGTGATCAAATGAATGAACACCAGGAAAGGGTTGACAAGATACCCGGCGCCCCTAAGCTGCTGCCGAAATGCGATGTGGGAAGGTTTGTTGAGCAGCCATATAGTGAGGAAGCTTCTCCCTACCCCATCCCGAAAACTTTTAAAATGCCACCGTACTTGAAAATATACGACGGGACCACGAATCCAGAAGATCATTTGATTCATTACGTCACCGCGGTAAAAGGCAACGACTTGTTAAAAGATCAAGTGCCATCCGTGCTGTTGAAAAAGTTTGGTGAGACTTTGACAGGAGGGGCGTTGACATGGTATTCTCAGCTACCAGCACGGTCGATATCAACATTCGAGGAGATGGCGGATAAATTCGCTACCGCTCATGCAGGAGCAAAGAAGGCTGAAGCTAGGGTCAACGACATCTTCGCCATCAGGCAAACGGCGGGCGAAGGACTTCGGGACTTTCTGGCACGGTTCAACAGGGTAAGAATGGGACTGCCGAATGTGTCAGAAGGAATGTCTGTCGCAGCCTTCCAAAATAGGCTAAGCAGAAGCGGGTCGAAGGCAACCAAGAAGTTACTCAACAGACTCATGAAGTACCTTCCCACCACATGGGAGGAAATCCATAATGCCTACTACGCTGAAGTAAGAGCAGATGAAGACGATCTCAACCGTCCAACCCAGCGCCTAACGTCGGTACAGTTCAAGGATAGGAAGGATCGACGTAACGACGGACGAAGGGATCAACTCGCACGCTTCAATAGGGAAAGGCATCAGCCCTATGTCAGAACTCCTAATCCACCTCCCCCAAGGCATACAGATGTTGTATCGTGACACATCGCGCCCCTTCGAAACGAAAGAGGTATGCCTCCATTATTATCTGCTCATAACTTTTGTGTTTCCCCTTCAGAAATAGTGTACGCACTAGAAAAGCTAGGCACGAAGGTACAGTAGCCACAAAAGATGAAATCGCACCCAAATGCAAGAAGGTCGAATGTCCTCTGCGAATTCCATAAGGAAAGAGGACACAAGACCAAAGACTGCATAGGTTTACGACAGGAGGTGGTCAGAATGCTGAACCAGGGATACCTGAAAGAACTGCTCAGCGATAAAGGAAGGGCTAACTTCGGCAGAGGGCGCGACCCATCTCAAGGACCACCAAGGCCACCATCGACGGCACATACCATACAAATGATTATCGGTGGTGGAGACGACTCGGTGATCAACCACGTAAAGTTCACCACCACACATAAGCTGAAGCGTACAATCGCTCACGAACGGTATGATGACTTCGAAGACAGTATCACCTTCGAAAAGTCAGATGCTGACGGTTTGTCTTTATAAAATTATGCATCGCTGATACAGATGTAAAAAGAATCATGGTAGATGACGGAAGCGGTGCGTGTATTATCCACCCGAGAGTTCTTATGCGAATGAAGCTCGAGGATAAGATAATACCGCGTTGCATAACACTAACGAGTTTTAATAATGCAGTAGAGCGGACATTTGGAGAAATAGCACTGCCAGTCCTGGTAGGGGGAGTCACGCTGGAAACTACATTCCACGTCATGGCCCAGGAAACCGTTTATAATGCCATCATAGGACGTCCATGGATACACGCCATGCGAGCCATCCCTTCAAGCTTCTATCAGGTAATCAAGTTTCCCACCCCCTGGGGAATTTTCAGCATTCAAGGCGAGTTGCGCACCGCCCAGGAATGCTACCGGATTGCCCAAGATTGCACGCATACCAAACAGTTAAAAGGAGCAAGTGCGGAGGCATAGCAATCAGCCATGTCGGGAGCTAAAACCGACCCGCCAGCAGAAGTCATCATAGACCCAGACGTTGTAGAAGCTTGCAAAGCGACTATCGAAGATCTCGACCTGGTACACCTGGACGGCGCCGACAATACGAAAAAAGCTTATATTGGACACAACCTCTCCGAGCCAGGTAAGTATCGTGAGTTTTTGACTAACAATACCGACCTATTTGCCTTTTCACACTCAAATATGCCGGGGATCCCAAATGACATCGCCAGTCATAGGCTGAATGTCGATCCGCTCTATCCGCCTGTACGGCAGATGAGGAGGAAATTCGATGGCGCAATTAACGAGGCGGTCAGTGAAGAAGTGGACAAATTATTGGCCAACGGCTCCATCAGAGAATCGAAATACCCCCAATGGGTCGCTAATGTGGTAATGGTCAAAAAGAAAAATGGCAAATGGAGAATGTGCGTGGACTTCACCGATCTGAACAAGGCATGTCCAAAAGATTCCTTTCCCACTACTACAAAATGGGGCTTTAACGGCAATAAAAAATGCCTTTAGCGTCAATAACAATAGCCGCTATATCCTTTACCGGCCAATGCCATTTAGCTGGCAATGTGGGGGTCGGCAAAGCTTTTGGCGGCCATTCTCACAAAAGCTGGTAAAGGGTATAATTTATTGCCGCTAAAGATCGTTAGTTTTACCGGCAATTGTTTGCGGTAATAATTTTGGCCGGTAATTTAATTCCATAACAAATTAACTATGCTCTTTTAGCGTCCATTTTTATGGCCGATAAATTCAATTAATTGCCGCTAAAAGTCAGTTATTTTTAACGATAAATTTTTTGTGGCAATTAGATTGGTTGTTGTATCCTGCTTGTAAATATCTTATTTTGACCTTTTAGAGTCTTTTAATGGCAAGTGAATTCAACTAACTGTCGCTAATAGTAAAAGAGTCCCTCTTGGTGAAAACAAAGGTTGGCAAATGCTAGAAAATATATTACTATTAATTCATAAAACAAAATATATTTCATTGAATCTAAACAATCCAAAGGAAGTACTAATCCAAAATATTAATGTCACAACTTTTTAAATAAACTTATAGTGATTGAACTCATATAACTAATCCTATCAAATAATATCTTCAAATAGCTTCGGCAACTCTTTATCATATTGAAATCTTCAACATGCGAAATTTTTGAGCATATGACCTGAAAAAAATAAAATAAATATGTAAAAAGATGGAATGTAATGTATAAAACATCATGAGTCTACACATTTAAATATATTGTGAATTCTAAAGACAATGTGAAAAATGAGGTTGCATGCGAACTAGGGTACCAAATTCATCATGGTTGAAGATATCGAAGTGTAATTTTCTAATAAGACAAATCGTTCTTAGGTTGAAGCTCCCTACATCAAGTTATAGTATTGGAATACAACCAAAATATTTTATCTAAGAAAGAACAAAGGATGACAAAAGAAAGATAAAAAAAAAAGTTAGCTAATGTGGCAAATGAAACTTGTAGTATTAGAATACAACTTAGATGTAACATTGTGGGGAAAAAAATAAAGAGCTAATATTTAGAAATTACCAAATCTAATGTCTAAATGTGATACATAAACTATCTGATCATCTTTCCATATTCTCTATTATAAAAATTGCTCCTTCTGCAGCTTCAAGTTGTATAAGATAATGTGAAATATAATGTGAAAAAGTATCTTGTCATCCAACTCACTCACCCAACATCTATAAGCAGAAACAACTAGATGGATTAATAGGCTAGCCAAATAGATGTGCAAATAGTTAAATAGAGTTTCTTTCTTTGTTATGATAGAGAAGAAACAAAAAAAAAATCGAAAGCAGAGTATTACCTTGAAGAAGTAAAAAGAAGTTGCACGCCAAGTTACAATAACAACAACAAGCAAATATTAACAACAAATTAAGACCAGAAAAATCATACCAATAATATATTAAATGGCACATCAAATGTTTTCCCCGATTGAAATTTCCAAATATCTATAAGTAAAGTAGGTCCACGAATCTTTGTTGCCTCTCAATTACCTAAAGTGAAAAAGTTCTGAATCATTTGATCACATCAAGAATCCTAGCACCAGATACTTCAGCATTACGCTGCAGAAAGAGACTAGCAAATTAGTTGGCATATCCATGAAATATTTATTAAGAGATATTTACAATCAAACCAGCAACAAAATGATTAGATCAACGCTAATATGTAGGTGCAGATCTAGAATATAGGAAAAATAAAGTTAAACAACTATAAGAATAATGCATATAAAAAAAATATGCTAGAAAAGTTAATAGTTTGTTTAATTCAAAACTAATGCCATGATTCTTCAATACCAAATTAGAACAGATAAAAAGATTTTACTCATTCAGTAAATTGAACATTGACAATCGAAGCCATAGACCTAACCAATTAGCAATTTTCATCAACCCAACACATACACAATCAAACACTAAAGATAGAAAGAGAAACTTACTGACTTTTTTGGTTGTGATGGTGGCCGACGATTTTGGTTTCGGACAACTTGCAAATGAAATTTGTGTAGTATGAGATTTTTCAATTAAGGTTATTTCTAACTTTTTGTAGTCTTTTAGGTAATTTCTAGACCCAAAATAATTAGCAATTTTCATCAACCCAACACCCACACAATCAAACATTAAAGATAGAGAAAAAAACTTACTTTTTGAATTTGAGATGATGGAATCGTGCTTCTTTGCTTCCAAATTTCTTACGGGTGAGAATTGTACAGTATGGAGATTTTTTTATTAATAAAGTAATAGCAATTTTCATCAATCCAACACCCACAAAATCAAACATTAAAGATAGAGAAAGAAACTTACTTTTTGGATCCTGTCGTGGCTGCTTCTCCTCATCCCTGCTTTCGCCTCTTCTTTCTTCACCATATTCCGTCGCCCACTTTACCCACTGCTACCCGGTGAGATTCGAGTCTGTTTCACCGGGTGCCTGCTACCTCCCACCAGCATAAGCACCGGGTAACTTTGTCCACCAAGGCTTAAACGAATGGAAAGAAATCACCTAGTGTTTATACCTCCTCTTTGTACCTAAGACCTCATAGTTTTTAACTCACTTTATTGACCACTACGCCACATTATTGGTTGCAAGTAATATCTTTAAATTCCTTTGTGCCCAATCAAATGGTCTCATAAAATGAAGGGTATGTTTGCATATAATACTAATGTTCTCACTTTGTGGACCCAAAAGTATTACCGCTGATACTCAAACAATGCAATGAAAGTTTTCAGTTATAAATTAGAAGTCAAATTTGACAATTTAAACAGATGACGTAATAGAGAGCTAAGGGATACCCACCTGCTTTATTCTTTTTCAATTTAGCAATAGAATTATGAACCACAATAATTGAAGTATATTTTTTATGAAAGACCACTTCGTTTAACAATATTTTTGATCGTACCACCTACAAAGACCATAAATGATGATTAATAATGGGCTCACCTTGGCAAGAGGCAACTTGGTTACTGGTAGTAGCCTTCTTGCTTGATGCCCTACTATCCAATGCTTTTTCAGCAGTCCTGAAAATGAGGCGGTGGCAGTAGATACAACACCCATAAATTAACTGTACAGAGGTACACCAGCTGGTATAGGATAGCAATAATACTGAACAAACATGGACAATTACCTTTTTCTACCATTGTCATTTGAGGAAATCCCCTTGCCATCTTTTGAACTATAATCACCCCTCTGCTTCTTAAGCATGAGAGACCTAATCAATATGTTTTGCTGGTTTATCTTAATAAGCTGCTCCTTTGCATATACAACATTTTGTGAAACATAATTCAATCCAGATTGATGAAGGCAGCAATCTAGCCTTGAAGAAAATAGTAAAATGAGGAAAGCATAGAATTTATAATCTTAAAAGGAGAAAAAAAGAGAAAGACATTCAAATTGCTTGAATCATCAAGACTCAAGATAGCGAGATATCTCTAAGATATGCCAACCATGTACTAGACAAGACACAATGAGAGGATATCAGTGCTTTACAATGACTTAAAATAAAAGTGCATATGCAAAGTCCAAGAAGCCAAACACTAAGCAATAAAATAACCATATGCAGGTAAATCCATTCAAAGGACAAAAAAACAGGAGAATAGAGGCTAAATCAATTTTCACCATAAAAAGCGATTGCTCAGCTAATTCGTTTATATAGAATTGCAGCTCCTTACGCAATTTAAAGGCATAAATATATAGAAACAGACCTGAAGGCGATGTTTCATGATCACAGACATATACACGCATTCCACCCAGCATAAAGTTTCAAAATAAGTGAGATCAAAAGAAAATGAAAGAAACATTACTAAAAAGAATTTTTCAGGTGACAACCGGAGTCGAGAGCTCACAGGAAATGGATGCAAATGGCCACCCTCGCAATGTAGTCTTGTTTGCTAACTGGTATTTTCATATATGGCTGGAACAAAACGAACTCCGGCGACCATGTTTCCTCCGTTTTTCGTCTTTTAATTAGTAGATAAGCTGTATATAAATCCAGATCTAACCAGATCCGAGCAAAAAAGAATTTTCAGGTCACGTATATGTTATCCGGCAAACTCCATGAAAACGACAGATATGGACTTACATCTTTGCCTAATCTTCTGCTTCTTGTTTTACATCCTTACAGTTCATGAAACAGACTCGAATCTCACGGGGCTTTGGCTGAAAACTCGTTGGAACATGGCCAGAGATTTATTCCGGCGACCTTTGCATTTCTGTTATTGTATCTCCGTCTCCGGCATTCTTGCCGTTGAGGGATGCGACTGTCTATAACCATCTTCTGATTGTTTTTGCTCTGTTGGTTACTTTTTGATCTAACACCACCGTGAACACCATAAAAATCAGCGGTTATTATTTGGTCCATGGTTCACATCTCTGTTCGTTACATGTTCTAATGAGTAAAGAGGCAAAATGCCATTTGGGTCTGATCAACACCAAAAATAAACTTTGAGAAGGAATATACTTAGGCGGGATATGATTTAGCGGAAAATTAAAATTGAAGGCAACATTAAAAGTAAAAACAATAGTTTTACTGCCTATTCTCTTGAATGGCCATTAAAAGTATACTAATTACCGGTTAATATTTATTGGCCGCTAATATTTTCCTTCCATGAATAAATTAGCGACAATTAGTTTATTGCTGCTAAATAATTGCCGCTAAATCCCCTTTTTGTTGTAGTGTCCATTGCCTCAAATCGACCAGCTGATCGACGCAACGGCAGGACACGAACTGCTGAGTTTCTTGGACGCCTACTCCGGCTACAACCAAATCCTAATGGCCGAGGAGGATCAAGAAAAAACAACCTTCATCACCCATCAAGGGACTTACTGCTATAATGTGATGCCATTTGGATTCAAGAACGCAGGGGCCACATACCAGAGGTTAGTTACCAAGATGTTCAAGGAACAGCTCGGCAAGACAATGGAGGTCTATATCAATGACATGCTGGTGAAATCGGCAAAGAAAGAAGACCATATCGGTCATTTCAAAGAATCCTTCGAGATATTGAAGCGGTACGGGATGAAATTAAATTCGAAAAAATGCGCCTTCGGTGTGGCCTCAGGAAAATTTATGGGTTTCCTTGTATCACAACGAGGCATCGAGGTCAACCCGGATCCGATCAAGGCCATAGATACAATACCTGAGGTACTGAACAGCAAGAAACAGGTACAGAAGCTGACGGGACGAATAGCCGCCCTATCAAGATTCATTTCACGATCCTCGGACAGGTGCCACAAGTTTTTCAATGTTCTAAGAATGGATCATGGGCTACAATGGAACGAGGAGTGCATCGACGCCCTGAGGAAATTGAAAGCATATTTATCCTCACCACCACTACTCGTTAAAGCAGATCCAGGCGAATGTCTGCTCGTATACCTAGCAGTATCCGAAGTTGCCGTCAGCGTAGTCCTGGTCCGCGAAAATAAAGGTACTCAATCCCCTATTTACTATATCAGCAAGACCTTAATAGATGCCGAAACGAGGTATCCACACCTTGAAAAACTGGCTCTGGCATGGCCGTAGCTTCACGAAAGCTTAGACCCTACTTTCAATGTCACCTCATAAAAGTAATAACAATATTCCCCATATGGGGCATCCTGCATAAACCCGAGCTCTCGGGCAAGCCCGTCAAATGGGCTATAGAGCTCAGCGAGCACGACATAACATATCACCCGCGAACTGCCATTAAGTCGCAGGTACTCGCTGACTTTGTCGCCGACTTCAGTATGAAAGTTTTGCCGAAGGCGGAACAAGAGGCCCTTCGTGCCTCCACTCATATCGACCTTTGGACCCTCTATACTGACGGTGCCTCAAGTGCCTTGGGATCGAGACTAGGACTCGTCCTCGAGGTCCCTACAGGTGAAGCAATTCGCCAGTTCATACGATGCCCCGAGATGACTAACAACGAGGCCGAGTGCGAGGCTGTGATTGCAGGTATGAAGTTAGCACTCAAGTACGGAGCCCGACGACTCATCCTCCACTGCGACTCTCAACTCGTCGTAAATCAAGTCATCGAGACTTTCCAAATCAAGGAACAAAGACTACAAAAGTATCAATCAGAAATCCATAAGCTAATTCCAGAGTTCGACGAATGCCGCCTCGAGCAGGTACCCAGGGCACAAAACATTGAAGCAGATGGCCTAGCCAAGCTAGCCGTCGCCACCAAGAATATCAACAAAGAAAATATGCTCACCCTCCTCCACTCAGCCATAGATCACGTCGAGGTATTCTCCTTGAACTTAACCTGGGACTGGCGCAACCGCCTTGAATCCTACCTGCAGAACGGAACACTCCCGCAAGACAAAAAAGAAGCCAAGAAACTCCGAGTGAAAGCTTCCCGATACAACCTGGTAAATCATGACCTCTACAAAAGAACATTCGGCGCCCCTCGCTAAATGCCTCGGACCGCATCAAACAAGACAAGTGCTGGAAAAGGTGCACGAGGGCCATTGTGGTGCCCATACTGGGAACCACGCCCTCGTCCGATGCCTCATCTGCGCCGGCTATTACTGGCCTACTATGAAAAAAGAAGCAGCAGACTATGTCCGGAGATGCGAGCAGTGCCAAAGATACGCCCCCATGATACATCAAGCGGGAGAATTCCTCTATGTAGTCACTTCGCCATGGCTCTTCATAAAATGGGGGATGGACATAGTCGGCCCCTCACCAGCTGGACGAGGAAAGGTACATTTCCTTTTAGTTTTAACTGCTCTAAATGGGTGGAAGCAGGTGCGTAGGCCCAAATACGCGAATAGGAGGTCATCGCTTTTATATGGAAAAATGTTATATGTCGTTTCGGCATCCCCAAAGAAATCAGCTGCGACAATGGGCCTCAGTTCGTTGGAAAGAAAACGACCGAGTTCTTCGAAAAATGGCACATCAAGCGGATACTCTCCACTCCGTATCACCCAGCCGCCAACGGTCAGGACGAGTCTTCCAACAAAGTAATATTGAACATATTGAAAAAGAAGCTCGAAGAAGCTAAAGGGCTATGGCCCGAATTACTGCCTGAAGTACTATGGGCGTACCGAACAACACCAAAGTCCAGCACGGGAGAAATGCCATACTCACTGGTCTACGGGACCGATGCAGTCATACCCGTCGTGGTCGGGGAACGATGCCTGAGATACTCCCATGTCAGTGGGGCAGATAACGACGAGAGCAGGTTGCAAGACCTAAATGAAGTCGAAGAACGGAGAGACATGGCCCATATAAGAATGATAGCCCATAAACAGCAGGTAGAGAGATACTACAGTAGAAAAGCCAAAGTAAGATCGCTCAAAGTTGGCGACTACGTACTCAAGGACAAAACACTGACATCAAAAGACCCACACGAGGGAAAGTTGGGAACCAACTGGGACAGACCGTATAAAATCACAGCAGCTGCAAACAAAGGAGCATTCCAACTAGAAACAATGGAGGGAAAAGCACTCCAAAACAACTGGAACATCGCCCACCTCAAGTACTTCTACTTCGGAAAGGCGTCTCCTAAGTCAAACTCTTTTTCCCTTACCCGAGTTTTGTCCCGATTGGCTTTTCTCGGGGAGGTTTTTAACGAGGCGACGAAGGGGATATCTCGTGGATCAAAACGCAATTCATCACCTCGGCCCATCAACACGGTCTCTAAGCCGAAGTAATGAAGGGGTTACCCTAGTCAATCTCTATTGTATACGCAGAAATCTCCGTCGTGTCGATCTTCATTTTATGAACAGAAATCTCCATTATATAAACAGAAGTCGAACCTCCATCAAATGAACATAATGGCCAAGGCCATCTAAAATAGTTCGATCGACGGATACTACTTCGACGACAGTCGAAGCAACTTCCTAACGGCCAAGGCCATCTACAATGGTTCGACCTCATTTAAACGACGATGAATATTACTTCAACGACAGTCGCAACAACATCATAACGGCCAAGGCCATCAACAATGGTTCGACCTCGTTCGAACCACGATGGATACTACTTCGACGATAGTCGAAGCAACGTCATAACGGTGAAGGCCATCTACAATGGTTTGACCTCGTTCAAACGACGATAGATATTACTTCGACGACAATCGAAGGAACATCATAACGGCTAAGGCCATCTACAATGGTTCGACCTCGTTCGAACCACAGCGGATACTACTTCGACGACAGTCGAAGCAACATCATAACGGCCAAGGCCATCTACAATGGTTCGACCTCATTCGAACCACGACGGATACTACTTCGACGACAGTCGAACAACGTCCTAACGGCCAACGCCATCTACAATGGTTCAACCTCGTTCGAACAACGACGGATATTACTTCGAAGACAGTCGAAACAACATCATAACGGCCAAGGCCATCTTCGATGGTTCGACCTCGTTTGAACCACAACGGATACTATTTCGACGACAGTCGAAGCAACGTCCTAACGGCCAAAGCCATCTATAATGGTTTGACCTCATTCGAATCACGACGAATACTACTTGGACGACAGTCGAAGCAACATCATAATGACCTAGGCCATCTATAATGGTTCGACCCCGTCTGAATTACGATGGATATTACTTCGATGACAGTCGAAGAAACATCCTAGCGGCCAAGACCATCGACATTGGATCGATCTCGTTCGAACCACGACAAAATCTTCTAAAGGCAATGTCCGCGAAGACTAAGTATAAAAAAAACACAACATAAAAGGGGAGAAGCAGCAAACAGACGAAGCGACAGAAACAAAAATTTATATCACAATAAAAAATTATTTACATTCGTCCATATGGACGAACTTTAGTACACCCCACAGCCAAAGAAGATACGGAAGCAAAAATATACAAGCTTAACTATCACCCCCTGCAGGATAAACGTCCTCATACCATGAATCTGAGTCAAGACGATCGACATCCTCAGAAGTAGCACCCTCCCCATCGGGAGAGTCGGGGTAATACCCACATGATTCACGAGCTGTGCGTGCTTTATTTCGCACCGCGTGAACCTCCGCCTCCGTTGCCCGACCCTCTGCATTCAAAGCTCTGTACACATAAAGTCGAGCCTTTGCATAGACCCACATCTCATAGGCACTATGATGCGGGTCCCGACCAGATGGGAGACGAGACGAGGAGGGACGAGAATGGCGATCCGCTTCCTCAGACCTCGGCGGGACGGCTTGCCTCTGCAAAGCGATCAATTTATCGGCATTAGCACTCAGCTCGCCCTTAAGTCTGTCAATTTCTACCATTCTGACACCAAGCTCGGCAGTCAAACCGGCTATCCTCTGCTGCAAGTCGGCGTTCTCCGCAGCAACCCCTCGATTCAATTCGAGTTCATCATCCTTCGCCCTAAGGAGAGCCTCCAGCTCACTGATACGATCAACGACCCTCACTAGCTCCCCATCCTTCTCCTCCAGCTCCGCCCCCTTACGTTCCAACTGGGCCTCCCTCTCCTTAAGTCCCTCGCGGAACACTTGGAACTCAGGGTCCTGTCGATAAAAGT